AGGAGAAGGAGAAGGAGAAGGAGACGAAGAAGCAGCAGCAGCTGTGTAACCTGAAAGGATACTTTAAATACTGCTTTTAACCTGTGTTTTAACCTTCTTTTCTTCTGTATCCCCTTTTCAAATGTCTTGATCTATAACCGTAATAAAGATTCTACTTCTTCCTGCACTGGGGATGCATTTAGGCACTGAATATGGCACACAACCCTTGTGTTGAATGAGAGTGTTGCATCACTGAGCACACAGCCAGATGTGCAACCAAAGACATACCGCAATGTGCGTCTGCATGCACAATGGCAACACATGCACAGCTCCATGTCCACAGCCCTAAACTAAACATGGATGTATAGGAACAAATATGTCCAGATGGCTTCCACGTATGAGTTGTAGAAAGCCAGTGTGGCATAGTGGTTTGAGTTGAACTACAACTCTGGAGACCAGGGTTCAATTCTCTGCTCGGTCATGAAACCCAATGGGAGACCTTGGCCAAGTCACACTCTCTCAGCTTCAGGGGAAAGGAATGGCAAACCTCCTCTGAAGAAATCTTGCCAAGAAGACCCCATGACAGGTTCACCTTAGGGTCACCATAAGTCAGAAACGACTTGAAGGCACACAACACACACACACACACACACACAAGTTGTGGCGGTGGTGGCTGTGTTATTTGCTATCAAAGTGGCTTCGACTTATGGTTATCCCAATGAATGAGAAACCTTCAAGATCCAAAGTCATTAATTGCCCTGCTCAAATCTTGCAAACTCAGGGCAGCCATGGCTTCTTTAACTGAGTCCATCCAGTTGTAATGGAGTTTTCCTCTTTTCCTACAGTTTTCCACTCCACCAAGCATCTTTTTCACCATGTCAGCTCATGAGATGTCCTAATCACAACGGCCTCCTTTTTGGCCATCTTGCTTTCTAAGGCGTGTTCAAGCTTGATTTGCTCTCGGACCCACTTTCTTTGTCATTTTGGCAGCCCACAGATTCTGTCGGATTCTTCTCCAAAGTCATAGCAAACAACAAAAGACATTACAACACAATAAAATGTCCGTAGCACAATGGAAGCTTAGCATCAAGTCTTTGAATCTACGCTTGGAAGGCAGGTTGAAGGCTGCGACAAATTCTGCCTCAGTGCTGGATTCTCTGAAATCTGCTGTCAGCACATTGGCAATCTTTAATTGTGCATTTTCTGTCTCAAGCCAGGGCTTCCTTTTTGCCAAAAATCACTCCTGGAACAACGCTGCGACTGTCCAGAGTATAGATACACAAATTAAGTAGCAGAGACACTTCTCAACCAAAGTATGTAGTTCCCTTACTTACCCAAGTATATAAAATCAATTGCAAAGCCAGAACTACAGATTATAGATAACACCATTAAGCATAGTTATTCATACCAGTGCATAGTTGTTATGCAAATAAATCTCTTCTGCTCATAGAGCAGAATGCAAGTTTAACTAACACAGTCATATTTCTTATGCAAGCAATAGCAAAATATTTGCAATCTCCTATTCCATAGGATACCAACCAGATCTCCCTCCGGCTAGACAGATTTTTCTGGCAAGGAAAAACTGTGTGTCTAAGGTTTGTTTGGGATTTTATATAAGATTGCCACCAGGCGCGTGCTTGGCCCTTGCAGACCTCAAAGCCCAGAGGTGTGCCCGAATTTTGCAGACTTCAAAGAGCAAAGACATGCATAGTTTCTGCAGACTTGAAAGCTGACTGTCCCCAGCTTTGATGTCCAAATTAATACCAAGACAAGTGTGTGATGCATGTTCTTGCTCCTATAAGACAGGATCCAAATGTGTTGGCGAGATTAATGTCCGCATGGAGGCGGCTAAATTAATTGGTCTCGTGTCCTGTCTATGAACCATGCACACCTATTGTCCCCTAGGTCCACTTGTTGAACCCTGGCTCAACTTTTACAAAATGATTGCCTACCCAGGCCTTGAGGTACCTGCTTTAGATCTTCCCCACTTCTTCTTTCTCCTATCTTTTTTATGAGGAAGCCATCTATCTCGTCCATTAGTTTCTTGGCAGCAAGCTGAGTTGAGCAGAGAAGAGATCATGGTTTTGTGGATGCTAGAATTAGCGAGTCCCCCCCCCCCAACTTTTCTAATTCAAGTCATGCAAACTGGGCATATTGCCCACAAGGACAGTTGCATTATCGCTAGGATCCTGTTTGTGACTTACAGTATTGTAAATACTGTTATGAGGTGAGTGGTTGCAGTAGTTAGGACATTGCACAAAAGTGTTGTTGCTGCAGCTGCTGTTGCTGTTGCTGTTATGCCATCTTTCCCCCAAAAAATGGCACTCAAGGCTAGCAAATTAAAATAAATGCATTATAGTTAGGGGAGTGTACAAAAGATCAGCATTAGAGTAGAATTACACTATTAACATCATTAAAACCATTTAAAACATATAATTGAAATAGATAAAAAGCCCCTTTTGTCTGCAAAAGAAAAGTACAATTGGTTGAATGAGGATTTGAAGCCTGGTCTCCCAGACCGATATTTCAGCCTCAGACCATTACACCACACTGGCTCTAAAAATGGACTTAGAGGTGAAACAGACCACCTCGAAACAGTGGCATGACACCGCCCCTAAGAAAGTCGGGTGGGTGCTGCGGCAACAAAACTACAGGATAATATCTGGATAAGTGCAATGCCGTTTGAAAGTCTTTCGCGCGATTGCAGACAATTGCACTTCCTGGATGGGATAATGTCCGGATAAGCACAACGTCCTTTGAAAATTTTTCATGCAATTGCAAACAATTGTGCTTCCCAGATGGGATAATGTCCAGATAAGTGCAACGTCCTTTGAAAAATTTTCACGCAATTGCAAACAATTGTGCTTCCCAGATGGAATAATGTCCTTTTTCTTTTCCCCATCTGATAATCTCCAATGACAGAAGTCCTCTGATAGCCTCTTTCCAAAGTGTGGCTTTCACATCTTGCTCACTCCTTTTGTTGGCCAAGAACCTGACCTGGTCACTCCGTATGCTGAATAGAAAATCTCTATGGCCAACAATTTGTCCAAGATGGCTCCTGGGGACCCCAGTTCCCAGACTAAGGAGCCCCTTTGACTTGGGATGGGCTTTGAGATCCCACCTGCACTGCATCATTGACTCTGGCTCCACCAAGGGATGGAAGGAAGGAAGGAAGGAAGGAAGGAAGGAAGGAAGGAAGGAAGGAAGGAAGGAAGGAAGGAAGGAAGGAAGGAAGGAAGGAGAGGCATTCTCAGCAGCCTTGGCCTGAGCATCCATCCGCATGGCTCCTCCGCATCATTTGCTCTTCATATTCCGATGATGGTACCCGGCATAATGGAATAATCCTTGGGAGGAAAAAGCCGGCACTCAGCAAAGGGCTTTCAGCTCCAGCAAACAGTTTTGTTTTCATCATGCTGTTTACCTGCCTTGGCAGTTACTTATTGGCTCTTCTCTCCTCGCTTCCAAACATTATGACTTAATTATATTTTAGAAACTCGGCACTCTGAAGAAATACTGACTTTGCCGTGACTGCCCGGCTGAGCCTTTGATAGGCCGTGGTTTCCATAAAGCGTAATATACATTTATTTGTCTTCTGCTACTTAGAGTTAAGGCATAAAGTTGAGACGCGGATCCCAAATAGAGGGCAGTTGAGGCAAAGCTCTGGGAAGGCATGGCAATATTTTAAGGCAGGTCTGAGCAACTCCAATAACTGGAATTTATTTTATTTATTTTTTGCCCTTGACGACATCTTGACATTTCAGAAATTAGCTCTTGTTCTGAATCATGACAAAAGGTCGCAATATTGGAATATTGCCTGGGAGGAAACCTTCCAGGGACCTTTCAGGGAGACATGTGTGCCATCCAATTATTTTCATCTATGGGGCAAATATTTCCACGGTGGACATTAGAACCGGCCATCCTAAGACCGTCAACTGTTTGCTCTTGGCTTTTGGAATTCTTTGAGCTGCTGTTATCTACGTTCACACCTCGAGGTGAATTTCAACTCACCTTCTTTTATTAAAAAAATTATTCTGTCTTGTGAAAATTCTCTTCCCAATGCCCAAAAACAAAAACCCCAAAGCCTTGTTTACTTGCTTACAAAACTGGAGGAGTTTTGTGACCCAATGAATGAAGAAGAGAGTTGGTCTGGGTTAGCGTTGGTTGCCACCTCACATGCGGAAACCATGCCCTAACACCTACCATTAATCCAAACTAGAGGAAGCCCATTCAATCAGCTGGATTTACCTATTTGTTGACTTACCATTCCATAGTTGTCTTGATGTCTCTACTCTAGTTGCAACTAACCGACTGGATTCTGACCAATATTTTCAACCCATCTTCTTTCTAAAAGCTGAATCATAGTACAGTCGGCCCTCAGTATCCACAGATTCTTTATCCATGGAACCAAGCATCCACAGCTTTAAAATATTCAAAAAAGATATAAATTCCCAAAAGCAAATCTTGATTTTGCCATTTTACTATCCATTATACATAATGGGATTTGAGCATCCATGGATTTTGCTATCCACAGGTATGTGTGTGTGTGTGTGTGTGTGTCCAGGACCCAATCCCCAACAAATAGCAAGGGCCCACTGTAATAATAATAATAATAATAATAATAATAATAATAACCTCATTGTATGTAATGAGACCTTAGCATCCATGAATTTTTGAATCCACGGAGGGGATCCTGGAACCAAACCCCACCAGATAGCAAGGGCCCACTGTAATAATAATAATAACAACAACAACAACAACAACAACCCCATTGTATATAATGAGACTTTAGCATCCATGGATTTTGTTATCCGCAGGGCAGTGGAGGACAAAGGGTCTTGGAGGAGTCTCATCCATAGGGTTGTCATGGGTCAAGATCAACTTGAGACCAGTTAACAACAACAACAATAACAACAACAACAACAACAAATAGATTATACTGTTCTAGAGCCAACATGGTGTAGTGGTTTGAATATTGGACTGAGACTCTGGAGATCAGGATCTAATTTCCCTCTTGGTCATAGAAACCCACTGGGGTGAGTCACATACTCTCAGCCCCCCCAAAAAAACCCATGATAGGTTCAGCTTAGCATCTACATAAGTCAGAAATGACTTGAAGGCACACAACAACAAATAGATTTAAAATGTTGCAAAGACATCATTAAAATGCACCCATTATACATATGGGAGTGGTTGGGTGTGATGTAAAAACAGCTAAATAACCTGTAGACTTGAAATCGATTGAAATCCATTAAAAGACAGCATATTCAAAAGTGAAACAGCAGACCATTGCAGGCAACTCTTAAAAAACAGATAGAATAAGCAAGCAAGAAGCTCTCTTATTCTCTCTAGGGAGGGAGTCCCAACGTTTTCCCAAAATATAGACCTTGCCCGCATGATGCCACTGAGCAGCCATGGACTTCTTAGCCAAACTAAGCAACAAGTTGCCGGAAGGAAATCCGAGGAAAGGCATCTGCTTTCTGC